TGCCTGCTCGACTGCGATCCCTGGGGACATTACATCTATTCCGTCATCAAACAGGGCTCGATTTCGCTCGCGTTCGAGAGCAACCGCATGGCGGTCCCGGAGGCGAAATTCCTGGGCATCCGCGCGGTCGACTACGAGCGGTGCGAGCTGACGGACGACGTCAAAATCGATCTCAGCGAGCGGGATATCACCCGCGCGAAGCAGATTGCCGATTACCCGTGGTTTACAGGGAATAAGGCGTGGCAGCTCGAAATCAAGAAGCTGCTCTCCAACGGTTTCAAGATGGAAGTGGAATCGCTCATCACAAAGGACATCAGTTATGTGAGCGAGGTCTACGTCCCCGAGCGCCTCGACCGGCGCGACTGGTTGGACTGATTTATTATCGACAAAGAGTGCATTATTCGAGCGGCACGAGTCGATCGTGGATTTGGCACTTCTCAAACCACCTGAACGTGTGGTTTGTCGTGCGATTCGGGAGAAAGTTCTGTATCGTGCCTCGGTGAAGCAAGAGTATGCGTGTTGCGTACGGCTTCCTCCTGATCTGACATCCACCGCCCGGCTCTCTATGTCAACCACGACCAAGGCACCGATGCCTCCCGAGCGCATCCTCGTCGTCCGCGAGGGTTCCGACTGGGACGATGATGTACCGGGGATGCTGCGCCGGTCCGGCTACGCCGTGACCGGCCCGATCGACGATCCGGACACCGTGATCGACACCGTGACGGAAGACGGCTCGCTCGTCCCCGACCTCGTGCTTGTGCAGGCGCAGGATCCCGGCCCGTGCAACTGGTGGTTGCCCCGCTTCTTCTGGGAGAACCACCGGGTTCCGACCATCGTGATCACGGGCAGCACGATCCTCTCCGAGCGGATCCCGCTCGCCGCGAAGTCCGGCGTCTTCGCGACCCTCCGCCATCCCATCCAGGAGGCGGACATTCATCTCGCGTTCCCGATGGTGTGGTCGCACCACAAGACCACCATCGAGCTGCAGACCAAGGTGGAGCGTCTGGAGCTGACCGTCGCGGCGCGAAAGGTCATCGAACAGGCGAAGTGGCAGCTGGTTGAATCGCAGGGCCTGACCGAGCCCGAGGCGCACGCGACGCTCCAGAAGGAAGCCCGGAACCGGCGTCTCAAGCTGGTCGATCTCGCCCGGGAGATGGTGGGCGAGGCGGTGGCCGAATCGTCGGAATAGCGGCCTGCCAACCTATTTTTCCCAGTTTCACATCTCAGCTGATTCCAACGGTCGCGGGGCGTCGATTTCCCGTTTCCGTTCCGTGATTTTTGCGCGAGTCCCGCCCGGAGGCCTTTTTTCGGCGGCCAGACTTGCTACATTCAACGTCCGCCTTGGGTACACCACCTCGTGGGGATCCAGCGGCACAACCGGCCCGGACGATTGAAAGCGATCGGAGGAGTTGCTTTCACTCGCGGGCCGGTTCCAGTTTTGAACAGAACTGCGGCCGATGTCGCGCCCCGGCGGTCGATCGGGGCGAAGGCTCCGGTCTCTGACGGCTGTGCGGGTGCGTCCGGATTCGATTCTCGACGGCGACACCGGGGGCTCATGGCGCGTCCAATACCGTCCGACATTCAGTGCGTGCAAGCCCTCAAGGTTCCCCTCCGGCATGTCCGATAAGGGGTGAGACGGCGTGGAACGCCGCACTCGGACTGGTTCAGGGCAGCACATCGACGGCAGCGGACGCGGAGCGTTCCGGGCCAGGGCGATCACTGTGGCTCACGCCGGCGCACGCCGGCCGATTCCAACGCGGAGCACGCACCGATGAACCGATCCGAACCCGGGAATTCCAACACGGTTACGAACGTCACCCTCCGCGCCGGGGCCGCGGCGCTGCTCGTCCTCTCCGGCCTCGCGGTCGGCGGCTGCTCGCGGTACGTCCGCTCGAGCGAGCTGCCCGCCCGCCCGTCCAACCCGTTCAACGCCCAGGCGCAGCAGACCGCGCAGTTCAACAACGCGGGCCGCACGACCGTTTTCCCGACCTCCAGCGTCAACAACGGCCAGCGCCCGCTCGGGACCAGCTCCTCCCCGCAGTTCCGGATGTTCGGCGAGCTGCCCTACACCGCGGCGGACCGCCACCAGTCCCGCGTCCCGGTCGACACCAACGAGAACTCCCGCCAGATCTCCTTCACGACGATCGGCGAGGACTTCGACCCCGTCGTCTCCCGCGACGGCAAGAAGATCTTCTTCGCCTCCACCCAGCACCGCCCGACCGCGGACATCTACGTGAAGTCCGCCGCCGGCACCGCCCTCACCCAGCTCACGAACGACCCGGCGCACGACGTGCAGCCCGCCCTGAGCCCGGACGGCAAGCGCCTCGCGTTCGCCTCCAACCGCAACGGCTCCTGGGACATCTACGTGATGTCCGTCGACGGGGGCCAGCCGGTCCAGATCACGTCCGACGCGGCCCACGAGCTCTCCCCGAGCTGGTCGCCCGACGGCTCGAAGATCGTCTTCTCCCGCATGAGCCCCAACGCGGACCGCTGGGAGATCTGGACGACCGATCTCAAGCAGACGTCCGCCCGCCAGTTCCTCACCTACGGGCTCTTCCCCGAGTGGCACCCGACGGAGGACAAGATCGTCTTCCAGCGTGCCCGCGATCGGGCTAACCGCTTCTTCTCGATCTGGACGATCGACTACGACGGCCGGGAGGCCAGCCACCCGACGGAGATCGCCTCCTCGAACGTGGCGGCCCTCGTGAACCCGACGTGGTCATTCGACGGCCGTTTCGTGGCCTTCAGCGCGGTGTTCAACCCGAACGAAAAACAGTTTGGCGAAAAGCCCGATTACGCCGATGTCTGGATCATGGAAGCGAACGGGCTGGCGAAGACGAACGTCACCGGCGGGTGGTACGTGAACCTGAGCCCGACCTGGGGCCCGGGCAACGAGGTCTTCTTCGTCTCCAACCGCAACGGCTTCGACAACATCTGGTCGGTCGGCTCCCACCAGGCGGTCTACGCCGCGGGCCTTGATCCGATCGGCGGCTCGAGCGATCTCGCGACCGTCGAGGAAGACGAGTAAGCCGGCGAGCGCAGGAACACGGGCCGGGAAGCGGGAACGCTCCCCGTCCCTTTGACAATCAGCTTCGCCCACGGACGGGCGACCACCAGGAGCGGCGCACGGAAGCGCCACACGCCCCGCGGTGGAACCCTCAGACATTTCCCCGCGGCGGATCTCGCGGGACACGGCAGGACGCCATGACAACCGCACAGCTTCATCTCAGGCACATCACACGGCGCGCGCTGATCCTCTTCGGCTCGCTGGCGGTGCTCGGGGCCTGCGCTCCCAAGCCGGAGCCGTTCCCCCCGCTCGCCTCGCCGTACGACGTCCCGAACCAGGTCGTGATCGCCGTCGCGCCGCTCATCAACGAGTCCGGCACGACGATCTTCGACGAGCTGGAATTCGCGGACATCATCGCCAACACGATCCAGGGGATCGACGGCGTCGGGTCCATCCCGGTGAACCGGACGATCGCCGCGATGCGGTCGATGAACCTCGGGTTCGTCCTCGAGCCCGACGACGCGATCGTCCTCGCGAAGCGCCTCGGCGCCGACGGGATCATCGTCGGTTCGGTCACCGCGTGGAACCCCTACGACCCGCCGCAGATCGGGCTGAGCGTCGCGCTCTTCCCGGCGAGCGACGCGCTGCACGGGTTCGTCCCGCGCCAGCTCGACCCCCGGGAACTCACCGCGGCGTCGACGGACTACGGCCTGCCCGACACGTGGGTGACGGGGCGGCCGGTCGTCGTGCTCAGCGAGTACTACGACGGGAACGACCCGGGCGTGCGTGCCTCGATCGCGCGGTACGCCGCCGACCGGAACGAGCCGCCCCACGCGCTGGGCGCGAGGCGGTACCTGGCGAGCATGAAGCTGTACGAGAAGTTCGTGTCGCACGAGCTGGTGAGCAAGATGCTGGATCTCGAATCCGCACGGCTCACGAGTCTCGGGGCACGGGAAGAGATCACGGAGCGTCGCTAGACGGGCCCGCCACTCCTGGCGCCCCGGGCGACCAGGAAAGGCAGGACCCGGTGAGCGACCAAGCGCCCGCCACAATCCGAGAACCCGAGACCCGCGACGGGGACGATCCGCGCATCGAGTGCGACGTCGTCCGCGGACGCGAGACGTGGCGATTCGCCGGCCCGCGATCCGAAGCGGGCGGCATGATCAGCGCCGCGTTCGACCTCGCCGACGCGGGCGAGATCGACCGGTTCGACGTGTCGTGGCTCGCCGTCCTCATCGAGCGCGCCCTCGCGGGCGGGTCCGACGCACGAACGACCACCTTGTCACCGGACGGCCGCGACGACGCGCCCGCCCGGATTCATCGCCATTCACGCACGCCGTGGAGCAAGGACTGAAATGAGCACCCTCCCCATCGTCACCATGTTCCTGGATTACCTCACCGACGAGCGGCACTTCAGCCCCTACACGGCGCGCTGCTACGGCGCGGACCTGAGGCAGTACACCGAATTCCTCACCGACGAGCTGGGCCAGCCCGTTCAGATGAACAACGAGCAGGCCGTCCTCGACGCGCACACCGACCCGAGCCGCAGCGGCATGCCGGGCCAGGACGTGCTCGGCAAAATCGGGCCCAAGACGGTGACCGAGTCGATGGTGAAGGCCGACGCGGATTCCATCCGCGGGTTCCTCGGCTTCCTCGCCGACCAGAACTACTCCCCCGCCACCACCGCGCGGAAGATCGCGACGCTCCGCTCCTTCTACAAGTGGGCGTTGAAGCACAGCATCATCGAGTCCAACCCGATGGTCGTGATCCGCACGCCGCGTCAGGGCAAGCGCCTGCCCAAGGCGATCACCGTCGAGCAGGTCGAGCGCCTGCTCAGCGCCCCGGACGACCGCGACACCCTCGGCGCCCGCGACCGCGCGATGCTCGAGACGCTCTACTCGACCGGCATCCGCGTGAGCGAGCTCGTCGACCTCGATCTCGAAGACCTCGACGACAACTCCGAGGCCCTCCGCGTGCGTGGCAAGGGCAAGAAGGAGCGCCTCGTCCCGCTCGGGAGCCACGCGCTCAACGCCATCCGCCACTACCGCGACGTGCTCTTCAACGACGCCCGCTACGCCCCGTGCTGGGGCGAGGACCGCAACGAGCGCCCCCTCTTCATCAACAAGCACGGCGGCCGCCTGAGCTCGCGCTCCGTCCGCCGCAAGCTGGACAAGTACCTCCGCGAGGTCGGGCTCGACCCGTCCATCAGCCCGCACACCCTGCGTCACTCCTTCGCGACGCACCTGCTCGACAACGGCGCGGACCTCCGCTCCGTCCAGGAGCTCCTGGGCCACCAGTCGCTCTCCACGACGCAGGCGTACACGCACCTCACCACCCAGCGGATGCGGGCCGCGTACGACGACGCCCACCCCCGGGCCGAGGCCGGCTGATCGCCGAACAGACATCCGCATCGCACGAAAAGCCCCGCGTCTCGCACGCGGGGCTTTTTTCATCTCGGGTTTGCGACGGGCGGGTCGACGGGCCGGCTCACTCGCCGGCGTCGATCGTCTCCTGGAACGCGCGGGAGAGCGAGCGGTTGCCCTGCCACTTCTTGCGTTTCAGGTTGAACTTGTAGAACGCCCACGGCGTGAAGAGCACGGTCAGGATGATGTACCAGATCGTCTGCACCACCACCGCGTGCACGAGCAGGCTGAACCCGACGATCGCGAAGATGAAGAACAGGATCACCTCGCCGAACGGATCGAGCCCGAAGACGCCCTTGGCGTAGTAGCTCCGCGACGACGAGGCGGTCTTGCCGAAGACGGTGGAGTCCAGGTCGTCCTCGCTCCCCGGGGCCACGGCGGTCGGGGAATCGACGGTCTCGATGATCGTCGCGTCCGGGTCCGTCTGCTCGCCCGCGATGTCCACCTCGGGGATGAACACGCGCTCGCCGCAAGTGCACGCGATGTGCGTGCCCGCGGTCTCGGCCTGCCAGCGGTGGCGGCGGCCGCATTTCTTGCATTGGACCCATTCAACGATGTCGGACACGTTCCACAGTTCCTTCACGAGCCGCTGACCGAGGGCTCATACTCTGCGGATGAGACCTTAGTTCACCATCGGCGGATCGTCGTGTCCCGATTGAGGAAACCGGGGACGCCTTCCGGGGAGATCGCGTTTTTTGACGCCTCAGGCCAATTCGGGGAACTGGTCCTGGACGACTTTCACGAGATCCTTCACGTGGTCGATCGACTCGTTCATGAGCCCCACCTCGTCGCCCTCGAGCTTGACCTCGATGACCTTCTCCATGCCGCCGGCGCCGAGCACGCAGGGCACGCCCACGAAGTAGCCGCCCACGCCGAACTCCTTGTCGCAGTACGCGGCACAGGGCAGGATCCGCTTCTTGTCCTT